ATAAGTCCACATTTATGTTTTTCCAATTATTATCAATATATATTTAATTTAAATACTCAATTTTCTCGGAAACATAATAAACATACGGCCTCTTGTTTCTTAGCATGCGTGTCTAGCTGATAATCATCAAAGGTCTTTTTACGTAGCATTTTTTACACAATACTATTTTAATAACCCATTTTATTTGTTTCTTATTTTACTTATAGTGGTACCTATGATTTTATAGTGTTTATGGCTTTACTATAGACAGACGTTAATACCATTTAAGCGGCAGGTATTTTTCAAATTAAGCACATATATACGGCTACTTTGATACTGGTATAAACTGCCCTAATTGATATGTTTGTGTCATGTATTGTGTAATATTTACATAAAAATGCTTATACCTTATTTGATATCGGCATACTTAATATGTATAGCCTTTTTGTGGTGTAAGCCGTTAGGGATTTATAGCTTGAATATATCATAGCATATACTGTAGAATTAATAAAAATGACAGTAAAATGGGTTTGCAATGATTGTAATATAAAAATGCAAACTTATTTCTTTTTTTTAAATCAAGAAGCGACGCATAAATGCAATAGCTAATTGTGAAATTTTTTTCAATGAGTTTTATAACTTGAAGCTATCTTTTATTTTTTAATTAAATGTATTTGGTAATAACGTAATAAATCAAAGCTTGTAATGTGTGTGTGCGTGTGCATGTGTGTGTGTGTGTGTGTGTGTGTGTGAATATATATATATATATATATATATATATATATATATATATATATATATATATATATATATATATATATATATATATATATATATATATTTTATGCACGTTTTCAGTTTATTTCCGATTCCCTTTAAATCGTATCATTGTATCGTCGGTAATAGTCTAAGTGTCCCTTGTCGTCGTCTAATAATTACCGTGTCAGATAGTTAGAACTACTAAAACCTCTACTTACTAATTTGTTCTACAAAAAGAACTAGTAAGTGGAACTAGTTTTCAGATGCCTTACTAAGGCCTAAATTGATTTCAACTAATTATAGTCTGTTATTTTTAATCAATTTAGGGTCTTCCATTAAGTACGTAGGTAGGTATGGCGGTGGCGGTTACCATAAAACGTACGAATGTGTTCAAGAGGCAATGTTAAAAACAGCGTTTTAATTACATTAGTAATTGGGGTTAGGGGCCATCCATAGAGTACGTACACAGGAATAGGGGGTATGTACGCAGGAATGGTATCCTAAAAGCGTACGAGCGCTCACAATGGGGTAGGGGGCTTAAAGACATAAGTATGTACGCGGTTTGACTACCTCTTCTAAACTTGTTTTTTTCTTAAAACATTGAATTTCACGTGTGTAACAAATTAGTAGTTTAATTTTTTATAAATTTATATAAAAATGACAAGAGAAAAAAGAAAATGAGAGATACTATTTCCAAATAACTTCTTTTTTTTTCGCATTGTAATTTGATTTGTGTGAAGCAAAAAGATGTCAATTAAAAGCAAACTCTTTTTGAATTTTTCAATTACCGTTTTGTACACTACTTAGGAAAAAATTGCGTGCGGACGGGTCTTCAAAAGCGTACAGGTTCGATCAAGGGGAGAGGAAGCTCCTAAAACACTGGTTTTACTGCGTACGTACTATATAGATGGCCCCTTAAAAGATATCAACTGCAGAGCTATAAATTTTCTGTTATAGGTCTTTGAAACTAGCTTCAGCCCTGATGTTTAGAACTATTTCTCATTATTAATTTCGTTCAGTGTAAACAAATATTCCTTCTGTCTTTAAGAACCATGCTTCCCCGTATTATTTAATTTAGTTATGGCCTGAATAAGAACAAAAAATTCATATAGTAAAGTTATACAACTGTAAAAGCAATTTTTTTTTTTTCAAAGGTTATTTTAAGTGCTCTAAAAAGTCTCTAAAATATAAACATATAAATAAATATAAACATATATATATATATATATATATATATATATATATATATATATATATATATATATATATATATATATATATATATATATATATATATATATATATATATATATATATATATATATATATATATATATGTATATATATATATATATGTATATATATGTATATATATATATATATATATATATATATATATATATATATATATATATATATATATATATATATATATATATATATACATATATATATATATATATATATATATATATATATATATATATGTATGTATATATATATATATATGTATATATATATATATATATATATATATATATATATATATATATATATATATATATATATATATATATATATATATATATATATATATATATATATATATATATGTATTTATATATATATTTATATTTATTTATTTATATGTTTATATTTCTGATAGCATTTATAAATATTATTTTAAATATGTCTATTATTAATTCAATTTTTTAAAAATATTGAAATAACATTTTTTTATAGATTCAGCTAGAGCATGACTCTTACCAGGATCTTTACCTTTAAAAAATGTATAATATAATGTAATTAATAATAACTTTAATATACTATAATAAACATAATAAATGTCGCTAAATCGATAATCTTAATACGACAAATCTCAAGATGCAAATAATGCGTATGGATTATTTTTGGCTCAGTTTTGTAAACACTATGAATCCAATTAAAAAATTATAATTTCTATCTCACTTTTAAACCCGGAAGGTTTGTATAAAATCATCAAAAAGAAAACAAAAACTTTATGAAAACTATTTAAAATATAAAACATATAAAAATGAATTAAAATAAAAAAATTATAAAAACATATTTAAAAAAGCAAAGAAACACGCAAAAAAAAAAAAATTATACAAAGTTGTTGGAAATAACACGCGGAAACACACAAAAAAACGCAAATAAAATTCCAAGAAACACCTCAAACTTTGAATCTTATATGAAATCAACAAATACATTTATGAAAGAATCAAAGTTAAACATGAGTGCGTTGCGAAATGCCTTTAACTGTTTAAAAAATAATAAACGCGCGTAGATAAAATTAGTGCGAATGCTGTTAAAGCAGTGTTTGATATTATTGAACCGTCACTGCTAAAAACATTTTTAACCTTTCACTAAAAACCAGAACTGTACCAGAGAAATTAAAAATTGCTAGGATCATACCTATACTTAAATCTGGATATGACACAAATATGTCTAACAATACCCTATATCCGTCTTACCATGTTTCTCAAAACTGATAGAACGTAATATGTATAATAGACTTAATAATTATTTTACTGAAAGCAATATTATGTATAATAAACAATTTGGGTTTTAAAAGAGTCACTCAACGGACCATGTGGTAGTCGAGCTAAAAATTATATATCCAATGCACTCAATAATGATTGCTATACATTAGGAGTTTTTAATGGTTTGTCAAAAGCACTGTTAACCATTATATTCTTATAAAAAGACTAGTGCTGTATGGATTACTAAATAATAATTTACTATGGTTTAAAAGTTACCTGTCAAACAGAAAATAATACATAATATAAATAGCAAATGAAACAGAAAAACATATAATAACTTGTGGTGTTTGCCAGGGATCAATCTTAGGCCCACTATTATTCCTACTCTATATAAATGATTAGTATTTAGTATCAAAAATTTTTAATATAATTTTATTTGCTGATTATTCAATTTTTCTTTTATTCAAACAGTAATTTAAAAGACCTGTTTAGAATATCTAACAAAAAATAATTAAAAATAAATGACTAGATTACAAATATTAAACTTTCAGTGAACGTTGGGAAAACTAAATTAATTTTATTCCACAAACCTAGTAGGGGAGATAACTTTCTTCAAAATTAACTAATCTCTTTATGAATAAAACAGTTATTAAAAGAGAGTCAACGGTTAACTTTATAGAAGTGATTATAGATGAAAATATATCATAAAAATATCATGTCAAATCTATTGAAAACTAAATCTTCAAAAATATCTCCATATTATATTAAGTTAAACCATATCTCAATATTGAGTCTTTAAAAATTATATATATTTCATTTATTCATAGTTATCTTTCCTATTGCAATATTGCACGGGGAAGTACTAATTATGGGAAGCCTAAAAGAATATATAGCATACAAAAACATGCAAGTAGAATTATTTTTGGTGTTAACAGTATTGTTAATGGTGAATCTCTTTTAATGTAACTTAATGTACTCAATGTTTATAAACTTAACATATACTAAGTTATGCTTCTAATGTTTAAGTCAAAACACGGTTTATACATTATATCTTACACTCTTACTTCACCGAATTTACTCATAAATACCCCACAAAATTTTCAACTAATAATTTTGTTGTTCCAAGATCTTATTTAAAACTCAGTTCATTTCAAATTCAATACCGTAGACCATTTTTATAATGAAAAGTAAATAAAAAAATTAAAAATAAAAAAAACAACGAAGGCTTGCGATTAATTTATTAAATATTCGAAAAATAAAAACATTCATGTATTTAGATCGTAAAAAAGTTAAAACATTCATATATAAAACGCTCCTATACACCATAAAATTTTTTTATTAAATATTATTTATTATTACAAAGTTTTTTTACACAATTTTGTTTTAAAAATATATAATACAAAACAATTACATCTATATTAAAATATTAGGATTTTAGTATTGTCTTTAGAGGATTTATAAATTCTACTACATGCCAAAAAACATAAAAACAGTTTTGAAATGGTTACAGTTCATATTTTAAAAATATGTTTAACATGACACTTTTTAAATAAATTATATTATAAAATGCATTTCCAAATATTTTTAAATTTTTTTCATAATAAAAAGTGATAAAAGTAACACAACAATACATAACATAACAAAAATACCAATTAATTATATATATATATATATATATATATATATATATATATATATATATATATATATATATATATATATATATATATATATATATATATATATATATATATACACACATAATTTATAACTTACATTAAAAGTTGCTTTATTTAATCTAAAATTGTTAAAATCTCAATTCGGTCAGTTGGTATTAAAAAGTCGAATTTATCTTTTGGAGATTGAGAAGAAGATAAGGTTAAAGATTCTATATATTTAAATATTAGTGTCGGCTTCATTTCATCTCTCTCTTTTTCGTATGTTTCTATGTTTCTTAGTACATCAACACTAATATTTGTTGAGTAAAAAAAAAACTCACATCCAGTAACATGTATTAAAAAAATTGGGCAAGAGAAATTATCTTCTGTTGTTGTAAAGGAAATAGGAAAAATAGTGTCATCTTGTCTTTGCAAATTGAGTTTATGATAAAAAAGATTCCTTTGTGAAGCAGCTGTTGGTTCAGCAACAAGCTGAGCTTGTCACTATCACTCAAAGTGCTGTAATGCAATTTTTTTTTTCGAACACAGCCAGCCTTAATCTTTTTGAGATATTATAAATAGTTATATCTGGTGTGGCATATACCTTGGTTTTGTTCATTATTAGTTTTTGTTTATTATTGGATAAAATTGTTAAATTACCATGATTAAAACCAAGAACATTAGGCAAAGCGAAAAGAAAGTCATCAACAACTGACTCTAATTTCATATCATGATGTGAAGATATTAGTAGATGTAAATATTTAAATAAGGTTGATGCATCGGGATCAAAGCTATTTACGACATCAACACAAACATTTTTAATTAGTTCAAAATTAAAAAGGTCGCATGATTCAATTAATTTTCGTGCAATGCCTGATATCTCTAGTAAAATGGTTTTGATGTTATAGCTCGATTTATATCCAACATTAAATACAGTTTCTAAGCTGGTAGTATGAAAAAATATATTAAAGGATTCCAAATATTCGGAAGTCCAAAGAGAACCAGATGTAGGAGCTGGAAAACTTTTTTTTAACTTTTGTACTGTATTAGATGCAACCACTTAACAAAATAACAACAATAATAATGATTAATATAAAATATATATATATATATATATATATATATATATATATATATATATATATATATATATATATATATATATATATATATATATATATATATATATATATATATATATATATATATTTAAAACATCATATGCGGTACTATTTTATTATTTTTTTAAATTTTATTATAAGTAATATTTCGGCTCATATAGTGGGAGCGATTATCAAACTAATATAACTTTTTTTATTAGTTTGATAATGGTTCTCATTATATGCCAAAATATCACTTATAATAAAAAAAAATAAATAAAAATAAACAGTTTGATACCGTATATGATGTTTTAATGCTTAAAATTACACATACTATTATTATATATATATATATATATATATATATATATATATATATATATATATATATATATATATATATATATATATACACACATAACTTTTTAACTTTATATAAGTAATAAAAGCTAATTAGGTCTTGAATTTTGTAAATAAGATATAGTTATAAAAGTAATGAAATTTATAATTAAGATATAGTTATAAAAGATCTGAACTTATTTTTTTAACAATTTATATGTGTATAGTATACTACTTATACTATATCATGCACCTGTTCTTGTGCAACATCATTTTCTACATTCGTATCCTGATCATCTTATTTCGTAACCTGATGTGTAACCGCAAAAAACTAGGGCAAAAGTGTTAGCATTTTAAATATACATTCATAATTCAAAATTAGAACTACACAGAACAACTTTACGTATTTTCTGTACTAACCATGTTTATTTTTGACATTAACAAATTAGTAACGTCACGACATAACATATACATTGGTTTTTACCAGCGCTGTTCCACCAATTTTATTTAGCAAATGTAATCTAATTTAAGCCAAAATGCATCTAAAATAAAAAAATAAATACTTAGTTATTAAACCTCTTGATTATAACAAAGATTATTATTATTATTATTATTATTATTATATATTTTTATTTAAACTCAATTACAGTTGAACAACTTTGCCTTTAAAATTACGATTACTTTTACGATTTATAAAATAAATTCAGAAAAAGTTTTTTTTTTTTTTGTTCTTTTGTTTCCGGTTCCTCTTCCACTGCTTGAATAGCATATGCCAATGGCATAGCAAGATGGATATATTAGAAGCCAACTTTGTTGAGTATGTTGGCCCCTATAATATGAAAGCCTTTACTTCCTTGTCAATTCGCCGCTTTTTTGACAATAAGGTTTGAGTCATTGTTCATTTTAAACATATTAGCCAAAGATGGATGGCACACTCCCGACAATGCCGACATTACTATTTATGTTGCATGAACCTTTCTTTGCTCCCCCAAGGTGTCAAGCTTTAGTTCTTCCAAAAGGGGAGCTGAATGAGTGTTCCTAGGTTTGTGACATACAATTCGCACACACTGCTTTTGTATAATGTCAAGTCTCTTTAGTTGTGCTTTGGATTGACCAAGGTACAATATGCTGGCATACTCTAGTTGACTTCGTATGAGTCCTGTATACGCAATTTTCAAAAGTTCCCTTGGAAGCCTGACAGATGCTTTTGCCAATATTCCCATACTAGAGTGACATTTTTTAACGGTTGAATCTATTTGTTCTTTGAATTGGAGATGTTGATCTATAGTGACCCCTAATAGCTTCACATGAGTTACTGGTTGAACCTCAATATTTCATTTAGCGAGCTATACCAGAAGTTAGTTGCTGTTATTAATGCTGTTTCACAGTTGGAGTTTTTCCTGAAGCCAAATTGCTGGATTGGTATTAATATCTTAGCTTCACTATATTCGGATAGTTGTCTGCATATTATTTTTTCATAAACTCTCGAAAGTAATGGTAATACTGAGATTGGGTGATAGTTTTCCAGATCAGATTTACTGCCTTTTCCCTTCCATATTGTTGTAATATTAGCTTTTTTCCAGATGTCAGGAAATACGCCCTCATCTATAGATTTGTTTAGAATGATGGTTAGATTTGTTGCTAGAGAATTGGCGATTCGTTTGATTAAAAAAGCTGAGAGTCCATCATGCCCAGCTGATGAGTTGTTTTTTATTTGGTTAAGTACGTTCACCACGGTTTCTATTTTTACTTTCTTAAAACTAAAGCTGTCGATTTGATCACATCCGTCTGGCCATACAAGTGAAGTCATGTCTTTGCATTGAACTATTGAAGCTAGATGGTCATTTAAATTGATTGTATTTTTATCAAGGGTACGATTTTTATCTTTAGTATTGAAACACATTTGCTTAATATATTTCCAACCATCTTTAGGGTTTTTGCTATGAAATGCTTCTGTTTCTATTTCAAACTTCCTTATAAGGCTTCTGATCTGTTTTTTAATATCTTTAAGTTCTTTTTCTTATTCATTTTTAAAGTCTATATATTTTCCCCTTTTTTTAGCTAAATAATCTCTTCTTTTTATCATAATTTTTATTTTTTCATTAATCCATTGAGGTCTAGTTGTTCGGTATGGAAATTTTTTAACTGGAGCAAATTCGTCTATAATTATTCTAATTGCATTATACCAAGTACTTACTAGTTCGTTAGTTGTCATTGATAGCTCAAGTTTAATTAATTCAATTCTTTTATTGAGGTCTTCAAAGTTTACATTTTCAAATGATCTTTTCAATACGGGTTTCAGTTTATTTATAATTGAATCTGTTTTAATTAATGCTGATACAGGAAAATAATCACTAGTTGAGTTGTTATAGATAAATACCTACTGATAAATTATAGATAAATTATAGTAATTATAGTAAATTATAGTAAATTATAGATAAATTATAGATAAATACCTACTGTTACACAATCATACTAGCGTTTACAAAATAATTTTAAACTGTTTATAAAACTTACAAAAAAAGATCTTGCAGCAGGACATTCATAATGATAGACCAACATTTCTAAATTTTTTACTGTGTCAATGCAGCCATCGAAAATTTCTAAATCATCGAAGTCCATTTATTTGTTAACATTTAAAGAGGTATATTGTCGCGATTGTCGCGATTGTCGCGATAAGAGCTTTTTAACTTCAACGATTTAAAATGGTCCAACCGAAACTTGTTTATTTTTTACTTATCAGTCGTTTTACTTTCAGTTGATGTAAAAAAGTGGAATCTTGAAAACGCATTTAAGTCTGATTTAATTGTTGAGCCAATAAAAAATAGTTTATCATTAGCTGAATATTTTAATTTCTCAGTTTTTAATAGGTTTTGATTAATATAACAACATTAGATTAAAAATTACTCTAAACAATCTAATTTTATCTTTAATTTAGAAATAAGAAACAATATAAATCGTTTGTTTATTGTATTTAAATAAAGTACTTTATTCACGATCTTATTTTAAAAAATTCAAAAACTAGTTAGCTCTTATTACTTATATAAAGTTAAAAATTAATAATGCAATTTTAATTAATGTAAGTTTTAAAACGTAAATAAATTGAATTAAATCAAAGAAACTACTCACAAGATTTAATAGTTTTATATACGTTTACTTAGAAAGAATCTAAACACTTTATATACGTTAATTAGAGTAGACAAATTCTTAACGATTTTGTATGCGTATAATAATTCTATAATAAACGTTTAAAATACGTTTGAATATAGACGTTTTATGGACGTTTGTTCTAAACGTTAATTTGGATTTTATTCTAAACGAATGATCAAACAAATCTATACGTTTTGTCAAAACGTTGTTTTAACGTTTAATAAACTTTTGTATGTAAAGTTATCAACGTTTACTTGGACTAATTTTAAACGCTTTATATACGTTATTTAGACAAGATTTAAATGTAAATTAGACAAATTTTTCAATTTCCTGTTGTTTTTTTTGTTATAGCCAATAAAGTTCAAGCAATCCCAGTAAGAGTAGCTGCTGCAACACCTTTTATGTAAATGGTAAATAAATGATTTGTAGGTTTTATAGTTTAGTATGAAACAAAAATATCATTCAGCTATTTCAATTGTTTTTTTTATAATTATTTTTACATTTATATTATGAAGCATTTGTACGCTATTGGTATAATAAGAAGGGCCCTTTAGTGTACTGATGGTCCCAGAATAGAGGAAAACGTTTCCCTCTTATTTCATCAAAAGGAAAGAGATTACCTTTACCAAAAGATAAGTAGGAGAAGTAAAATTTTAGTATTTTACATGTTCAGGTAATTTTCTGCTGTGACAGTGATTATGATTCTCAGTGTCAAAATAACATTTTATTGGCAGTTTAGATTTTGAGAATGCAGTTAATAATTTCATTATAATCATTAAATTAGGGGGTATCTAATAAGTATTTACAAAAATTTTGTTGGAATGGGACTTGAAAATCAGTTTTTCACTCTGTATGCTCTTTATTTACGTATCCTTGTCTGGTTCATGAAAACAGTAATGTTTGTTAATTACAGGGTTATGCAAAATTATAAAGTGCTTTATGCAAAATTATAAATTGTTTTATGCAAAATTATAAAGTGCTTTATGCAAAATTATAAATTGTTTTATCCAAAATTATAAGTTGCTTTATGCAAAATTATAAAGTGCTTTATGCAAAATTTCGAATCGTTTAATAAATCCATTTAAAGCATAAAAAAGTTCGAATATATGATTTATTTATATATAAGCTCATGTCATTTAACATTTAGACTTCAAAAAAATTATATTAATTTAAGCAACTACTTTATTCAAAAATCATATTTTGTTTAGCTTTTTCCAACCATCGTTCCATTGATCTCCAAAATCCACTTAATTCTTCGTTAATTTCACGCATTCGATTAAAAATTATTTCCAATGCATCTCTAATATTAATTTCTTTATTTAAAGCTTTTATTCCGCAATATCTTGCCTTTATCATGCTAAAAAATTCCTCAATGGGATTTAATTGAGGAGACCATGCCGGTAAATATTCTCTATTTATTCTTAATTCATTTAAAACTTCTATAATACTTCTTGAACTGTGAAATGGAACATTATCCAGTATCAATATATGGTCTGGGTTTTGTCGGAAATAATTACACAGGTTATTTCTTATAAATCTTTCAAAGCTTTCAGCATTATAAGCTCCAGTTCTTAACTCATAAGCAACCACACCAGAAATATTTATTGCACACATCAAACTTCGATTTGTATTTCTGTTTCCGGAAACAATGGAATATACCTTTTCATTTTTTTGGGAATAACCATATCGTCTTCTCAAATGCTGATTAAATCCTGATTCGTCTAAAAAGACCAATTTATCACAAGAAATACGCGAGATACGGCGGGCATATATGGCCTAGATCTCCTGCCACATAATATTTTCGTATGTGACGTCACTGTGTAAAAAAACAAGAAATAATTTGACTTGTATTTTTTTTAAAAACTCGTTCTGTCAGAAGACTATTGAGGCTTTATAAAGCAAGCGTTGTAACAACAGCGCCGCGGCCGCTGTAATATAATAATGAATAAAATAATAAGATAACAATTTAAATATAATAACGTACATACAAAAAATCAAAACAAAACTGCTTTAGCTAAAAAGACGTGTAACTATTTAAAAAGTTTATTTAACTTACATACGGTTCTGAATAAAACTCTTTTAAACGTCTTTTAAACGTCAAAACTGTCTTTTAAACGTCTTTTAAACATTAATGTTTAAAAGACGTTTAAGAGACATTTAAAATACATTTAGTTCGTAACTTTTAAAAAGAAATGCCCGTCGGGTTTATAAGTGGATTTTTTACATTTTATAAATAATATACATAAACAAATAACATATTTGTTTATATATATCGTTTATATAAGGATAGTTAAGCCACACATTTTAAAAAATTGTATATTAAAAAACGATTTATATAATGATTCTTTACTATACTTAAAATATTTAGGTGTACTAAATTGCAATTGTTTTTAAATTTTTGGTTTAATGGCTTTTATTAAGAGTTTTTAAATTTTGCGTATTTTGTATCATCTATAGGGTAAAGAGACCAAATTCCAGCCGCATCTTTACAAAATTGTTTCTACAAATATATTAACAAAAAGGTCTATTTTTTTTTTTTTTTTTTTTTTTTTTTTTTGTTCTTTTATTACATGTAAAATAAGCATTTCGTTACAATATTTCAAATACAAATATATAATAATAAATTTATATATAAATATAATGGTCGTTATTAGAAAATAAAAGAACGCGGGGACTCGTAGAAGACCATACGGTCTTGTCGTCGAGTACCGCTAAGAAATGTTCGTGTTAAAATTAAAAAGATAATTACAAGGTTAAAAAATAAAAATAAGTTAACAAAAGTAAGAAACTTAAAATAATCCATAATAAATACAAGATGCGTTTTATCTATTATATATGTAAATTATAGTATATACTTTTTATAAGTTCATGTTTAAATAAATGGTAAAAATAAAGATCACAAAAAATATCAGAAATATATTGTTAAATCATCGATTGTAAAAATGAGTTCTTTAAGCTTTTGTTTAAAAGAAAAGTAGGTACTTTGATTAATAAAATCCTCAGTAAAATTTTTTAAAACTATTTTATTCCATAAGAATGGTCCGCGATAATCAATACAAAATTTAAAAAGATTTGTTTGAAAATTGGGCTGCTTAATAAAATTATTATTACGTAAAATGTATTTATTTTTATCTTTTGATGAATACAAATTATGGAAAGAAATCGGGGATGAATTGGTTTTACATTTAAACATAAAACAAAGAATATTAAAAATATTAATCTCGTATATATTAAAAACTTTCATTTCAAATAAAAGAGGCTTGGCATGAGTATAACGGTCTTTAAAATATATAAGACGTGCTACATGCTTCTGCTGGCAATAAAGAGGTTTAAGTTTGTTTTTATTTGCACTACCCCAAGCAATGTTTGCATAGTTTATGTGGCAATGAATAAATGAGTGATATAATTGTACTAAAGTTTGTTTATTTAAGACATTTCTCGCTTTGTACAATATTCCTATACTTTTTGAAATTTTACTTGATAAGTTTTTAATGTGGTTTTTCCATGTAAGATTTTCATCTAAACAAACTCCTAGAAAATTAGTTACTGTTACTTTTTTAATTTGTATATTGTCAATAACAAGTGGAGGCATGTTAATTGGCAGTTTATGTTTTTTGGTAAGAGGATGGAAAAGAATCCATTTAGTTTTATCAATGTTCAGGGATAGTTTGTTTGTCTTAAACCAGTCAGATATTTTGAATAACTCGATGTTCACGTTATGAAATAAAGTAGGAATGCTTTTGTGAGACATAAATAAATTAGTGTCATCAGCAAACATAATTGTTATTAAATTCGAGGCTTTGTATAGATCATTAATATAAATAAGGAAGAGAAGAGGTCCTAATATGGATCCTTGAGGAACTCCACATGTAATATTTAACAAACTTGATGAAAATGATTTATCAGCATAAACAAATTGTTTACGATTAGTTAAATAACTTTTCAACCATTTTAAAACATTGCCTATTATACCATAATATTCTAATTTTTTAATAAGAATTTGATGATCAATCAACCTTTGGCTCTCAGATCTTTTGCTTCTTTAAATAACTGTTTTCGCAATTCCAAAGTTCTTTCGCTGTAGTCTTCGTTTACGTAAAGCCGATCGTTCCACAATTTTAACTGAACATAGTTATCCAACGCAGTTTTTTTGTCTTTGTAATTTAAAAATTTTACTATTATGGTTCTATTATACTTTTTTCCATCGCTATTTTTTTCCCCCTTCCTGTGCGCACGTTCAATTTCAACATTACCTTTAAAACCAAGTTTTGACTTTTAAAACATTTTGAATCTTTTCTTCGGTTAATTCCCACGTTTCATTTTCGTCTTCCTCAATTCCTGTAAACCTTAGATTATTTCTTCTGCTTCTGTCTTCCAACTCAGCAAGTTTGTCTTTGACAACAACATTTGTTATATCATTCTGGCTTGATGTTGAGTTAGGCTTTTTTTTTATTTCAGAAAGTTCTTGAACAATTGATTCATATTTCTCGCTAAGAAACTCTGCCGATTTCCTTAATTCACTAGTTTCTTTTTTTAGTTTTGAATTTTCTTCTTGAAGATTTAATAGTTTGATTTCCATTTTATCAAACTTCTCGTTAAATATTTTCAATAAAGTATTCTCATGA